AAGATATTGAAGTCCTAATTCCCCAGTACTTGTGAACCTGACCGTATCTGGAAATAGGGACTATGCAGATGACAAGGAAAGACAAGGTCATAAGGGTAGTTGCTAATCTACTATGACTGTGTTCTTATCAAGAGAGGAAATGTGGAACAGAGATAGACATGTGCAGAGCAAAGATGATGTGAAGATAGGGAGCATGTCTTTTGAAACCAGAAGCTAGGAGAGAAGCATGGAACAGATTCTCCCTCCTAGTCCTCAGCTCATTCCAGGCTAACCCCCTGAACCTGTCCCACCATCCCCTTTTCTCCGACTTCTTAGTGAGCCGAAGAAGCCCAGCCCAGGCTCATTTCCCCGCCTAGTCTCTCTCCTGTTGTTTCTTCTATCCTAGGAGCTTCCTTGTTTCACTGTCCCCAGCTTTAATAAATGTCCTTTAAAAATCACCTGGACCCATATTGTGAAATTTTTTCTGCATGAAGTCAAGAATCCACACACTGCCAGCAGACCAGCTCAGGGCCAGGTCCCCTTTCCGATAAAATCTTGATGTTAGATTTCTAGCCTCCAAAACTGTGAGAGAATGAATTCTGTTGTTTAAGCCACCCAGGTTGTGGTACTTTTATTATTATTATTGATTTCAGAGAGAAGAAGGGAGAAGAGATAGATAGAAACATCAATGATGAGATTGGCTGCCTCCTCCACGCCCCCTACTCGGGATCACGCCCCCTACTGGGGATTGAGCCCGCAACCCAGGCATGTGCCCTGGACTAGAACTGAACCTGGGACCCTTCGGTCCACAGGCCGACACTCTACCCATTGAGCCAAACCAGCTAGGGCGAGGGTTGTGTACTTTGTTTCAACAGACCTAAAAAACTAATTCAAATACTTATTCTTGAATTTTTTGCTTTCTTCCTTCATAACTGGGTTCTGTTCATCTAGAAGTTGGCGAACCAGGGAGGAATACATTCACGAGGGACCTAATATATTTTCTACTGAATTAGAAGCTGAACCTGCTTTATGGCCAGTTAAAATTCCTTACTCTCATTGAAAAAAAAAGAAAAGAGGATTGTTCTGGAGTGACAATAATCGAGGCAAAATAGTGTTGTTACCACACATAAATCAGGGTTAGGAGTATTACTCCTCCAGGATAACTATGGTAAACAGTAGAAATTCTAAAAGAAGAGATGAATACAGCCTTCCACAGGTAGGAACAACAGGGCTCAGATTCTTCCTGAAGGATGTGGTTCATTCAGCTCATGGAGCAGACAAAAGCCCAAGCATGAGGAACTCCCTGAGAGGAAGAGAGATGTGAATTGAGTAGTGAAGGATGAAGTCCCTCATAAATACCAATTCAAGCTTATAGCCAAGAGAGACAGCCAATCCCTAAAGCCAGTACCTGTATTCCCCTCTTTTTTATTATTACATTTCGGCATATAATGTGTCGATACACTACAATGTATCATTTTGTCCATAAAACAGACCACATTGATAGGGGATTGTGACAGAACTAGAGGAGGCACGGACATCACCCAAGGATACTAAAGTAGGAAATGGCAGCCTTGAGCCTTCCTCTCTGGTTATGACTAAAACCTATTCAACAGGAGGTACTTTCTGTTGTATATTACTTATTTACATGATATTATAAATATGTGAAAATATGTGAAATACTTTCAGGTGGTGTTAATAGAAAGAAGGTCACGTGTGTATGTTGCACAGGGTATAATTAGAACGCGTAGACTTCTTTGTTTCTGCTTCCTTCCCAGCATTGTGGGAGCTGTCCAGGCTCTACCTGATTCTAGTGAGGTGTCAATCACAGGATTCCAGAAATAAGCTAAGCCCAAATGATGAGACTCTCAATCATGAGTAGGAATTTCAATCATGAGTAGAGACACACAGGACTAGAAGGCAATTAGGAGTCATATGGTAGCAGATCCTAACACAGTGAGCACGGGAGTTCCTACTGTAAATGCCCAGTCCCTGGCTTCCCTAAACCTGTTTATTCAGCATGCCATTCAGTAACCTTCCAATAAATCCATTTGGCTCCTTTTTTCCTTACTTCCTTTTTTCTTTCTCTTCTTCTCTTTTCTTTCCCCCTTCCTTTCCCTTACATTTCCTTCCCTTCCCTTCCTTCCTGAACCCTTCCTTGCCTTCTCTTCCTCCCCTCCTCCCTCCATTTCTTCCTTCTTCCCTTATCATTGCTGTTACTTGTAAATAAAGAATACTGATATATGTGTTACCAGGCTTCTTACATTTTTTCTCATAATATTTTGAAAATTACCTATGCATAAAGAACATCCTATATAATAAAAACTTAATATGCAAATCAACCGAACTGTGGAATGACTGGTTGCTATGATGCGCACTGACCACCAGAGTGCAGATGCTCAACATAGGAGCTGCCCCCTGGTGGTCAGTTCACTCCCACAGGGGCCGTGCTGCTCAGCCAGAAGCCAGCCTCTCCCACCTCCACGGCAGTGCTAAGGAGCAGCGAGCAGGCAGGCAGTAAGGAGCAAGGGGTCCCGGACTGCAAGAGGGCACAGGCTGGCCTGAGAGGACCCTCCCCCCCAACCACAAGTTCATGAATTTCATGCACCGGGCCTCTAGTTTATCTATAACTTGGTGGACAGAAAAGGTCTATTATGAAAAATATTACTATGTTTCCTTACATATAATTAGCGGTAAGAGAATATGGCATAGGGTGCTGTTGCATACCAGAAATCGCTTCTAAGTTTTCTAGCACCAACCCCAACTCTAACCTAACCTTGATAAAATCTCTCCATCAGTGCAACATTTTGGACTCTGAAATAAAGGGACTTCAAGTAAAGACAAAGATGGATAAACAATGAAAGTAACAGTTAGTAAAGAGTAAAACAGAGAAGGAAAATATGAGCCCGTAATGTCTAGGGTGGACTGCATCCATCCAGAAGTGGAAGTCTCCGTAGGGCCAAGTTAGCACAGCCAAAACGGGACTCCCTTTCTTCTAGTTTTCTTCACCACAGCCCTTAAGGGGAAATGACAAAATATGTAGACAGTATATCTTTTAAATCTCTCTCTCTCTCTCTCTCTCTCTCTCTCTCTCTCTCTCCATATGATCTAGAAATGTCTGGAAAGTCAGTTAACATCTCTGAACAATTTATTGTTAAAACAAAGAGGTTGAACTGGATGATTTCTCACTCTCTCAAAACTAAACCTGTGATTTGATTTTCTTTAAATATCAACTATATTTCTATGGACTAAACATGAATTGTAAATCAAATATTTAGAGTTCTAATTCTAATTTAAAATCTTAAAGAGTAAAATAATTCCACCTGTATCACAGTTTTCTCATCAGTAAACCAAGATAATTTTCAATCCAATTAAACTTTTAACAATTTTTTATTGATCGATTTTTACAGAGAGAGGAAAGAAGGGTGGGGGCAGAGGAAGAGAGAGAGAAACATTGATTTATTATTCCACTTATGTATGCATTCATTGATTGATTCATGTATGTTCCCTCATCAGGGATTGAACACACAATCTTGATGGATCTGGATGATGCTCTAACCAACTGAGCTACTTGGCCAGGGCAAACTATCCTATTTTTTTAAGTTAAGAGATTATAGGGCCTTTATATGTAACCTGGTAGAATTAATTTATCTAACAGTATCTATACATACACTTGTATTTCTCCATACATATGGTTTGAATACTTACATATAATGTGCACACACACACGCACACTTTTAACTCTGCCTAGATTCAGTGAAAATATAACAATCTCTATAAAAAGAAAGGGCTAAGAAAATCCCTGTGATGACAAGCAGGAAGTGTGGCTAGTCATTTTGCCTCTTTCTCTTCTCAAAGCACTAATTAACAAACGAATATCTGATTGTCCTAATGGCCTACATAGGTAATAAGGAAGGTCCACATGCAGGCTTACTAGTAGTGATGATAGGGGTATGAGTGTTGAAGTTCTGCTATTGTAGCTCTTTAATATAAAATCAACAAATAATGTTTTAGCCTCTAAATTAGAATGTTAAAATATTCCATTCATCACGAGCAGTAATAAAAACTAGTGTAATGTTAGTAAATTCCTATTTTAATTCTCCTGAAATTACTTCTTTGAAGTTTTTATATTAGAGCTTTACGCAACCTAAAAGTTATTTTTAATTCATAGTTTATCTCTCCCATGTCATTTCCTGAGAGTAAAACAGTACAAGTAAGCATTTTTAATCAATGAACATGCTTAAACTCTAGAAAACAAATGAGTTAACTGACAACTGAAATGTTCTAAATGCCTTAATACACCTCATATATTTTTTCAGAGAAAACTCACTATTGTGCCTTGAGTCCAGGCACGGGAACCTGAAGGACTAGACATACAAAGATAAAGACGAAAAACTCCAGGACTTCAGATCAGTGGCACTCATAGTGTCAAATATCCTCAGTACAAAATGACCTAAGAAATACGATGTTTAACAGTCTTTTTGATTTCAAGGTCAGATAATATGTGCCAACTGCTATGCAAAATTTAACTCACCTACAACCATTCGTTTGTCAATGTTGAAATAAGCAAACCGAGCTCAAAGTCCAGACACTGCAAACGTGGGGTAAGGCTGCAGCAGGGGGTGCGAGCTGGGACCGGCGCGGGTACACAGGGAAGACAGTGGGGTGCCTTTTCCCCTACTTTTATGCTGGAATGTGCTCATCCCTGTCCTCTGACCGGGAACTTCAGCTGCTGGGGGCAAATGGGTAGGTGTTCTAACTCCTTCTTTCACAGTTAGTGTTACTCGGCTCCTTCCCTCGGTCCTTTGGGCAGCAACACGGGGTTCCCAGCGGAGAGCAAATACCGACCCTGCCCCACCATTCCGCTGCCCGCAAGACCCGGGGCTGCTTCCATCGGCCGGGGGCTGTCGGGGCTTGGAAAGTTTCTAGGAGGCTGCAGCCTCGGAAAACAGACTGGAGCGAGGCTGGCGGCTCGGCTGGCATCGCTGGGGACAGAAGAAGACAAGACGCTATTGATTACTCACGTTTGCCTCCCGAGACGGGGAACGCCAGGGCGAGGCACGCCAGCAGCGCCCCGCAGCTCCCGCCCAGGC